ATATATATATATATATATATATATATATATATAGTTTGTTTTATTAATTTCTATTCAATAATTTTTTAGAACTGTGGATTATGCTGAGCGTTCTTTTGCACTTGGAATCCAGTGGATTCTTGTTCGTGTAATCGGTACTATTCCTGCTCCTGTATTATTCGGGTGGATGTTCGACGTGTCATGCGTGCGCCGACACATGGACCCATGTTCTAAGCAAGTAAGTTACATACAGATTCTGTTCAACAAATTCTGATATTTTTTTTATGCGCGTTATTCTACTCTTTGTCTAATCATAATCACGTAAATGTATTTTCTTAAAAATTAGGGCTCTTCTAGGATGCTGCTCTTACTAAGGTGTTAGAAGGGTTAATTTTGGAAAGCAACAAACCATAAAGTAACAGTGAACGTTTGTTGCTTTTTGTTTAAGTAGTCTGTTTTGCTGCGTTGAAGACAAGCAGTTTGAAAGTTGCGGTGCTCTTTTATTTTATTGCTACTGTATCTATTTTGAACTATTATGAGTTGAAATTCAAAAATACCTGTTCTTTAGATACATTTGTTTTCTGACGGTAATACAACATGCAGCAGACACCAAATATTTGGCTGTTTTGTGTGCATTTGTGGCGGGAACTTTTGAGAAGGTTGTTATAAAATTCGCTAGTAATATAAAAGTTGGATCAAAGGTTTGGTGAGGAGCTGCTTATGATTATGGTATAAAGGGAGGGAGGCATTAGGCACAGAGCGTTTTAGGGCTCTTTGATCTATAGAGTAATTGCTGAAAAATTAAAGAAGTTTTGTAAGTGATCCACGATCTGAAATCATAATATTTTTTTTTTTGTCAGCGATTTCGTCTCTTGTAATCTTTCTTCATCTTAAATTGAAAAGGGGATTTGGATTTTTAATTGTTGATTAGAAGAGTCGAAGGCGAAAACCAATAGGGTACTAATAAAGGTTACGAAAACGCCGAAAATTGGTAGAGCTTTACATACAATATTTTTCTTTGGGCTTTCTTCAATCCCATAGTTGTCATTGATAACTGCAAGTGCAATGGGTGGATTTTTGAACGAAGATGTGGAAAACAAGACATTTAGGATGCAGAAGAAATGAAGAAGTATTTTATTCTATGATATTTGTGTCGTACGTCATGAGAACGACAACTTCATTCTCTTAACGTACTGGTCATAGATTTTTAAACAAAATCCACCTGGCTAGGTTAAGAAATCCTACATTTTTTAAATGTCATAGGGGACAATCAGCAGAGGGTTTCATTGTTTATTAGAACTCCTTGAAACCTAAATATACAGATTAATTTTGTATTTTGTTGAGTTTAATGGTTTTAAAACTAGTTTTCGAAGTTGAAAAATTAGCGAAGTCAGTTTGTTCTTCATTTCTTATACTTTTCATTAATGGTTAGAACTGAACGGAAGTGTTTTGCAGATTTCTAAGAGAATTCTGTACTTGCTGTATTGCCCTCTATTAAAACACTATAATGCATTCCTAACGATACAATCTTGTTTTTTAGTTTTCTAAAAAAATGGATATTTTAGCAGGGAAGTTGCACCTTGTATCAAAACAAGCGGCTAGCGGAGCTGTTCCTGGCTTTTAGTGTGATGGGGCAGGTATCTTTTTTTGTCTTGCTAATGATTTTCATGCTGTGTGCAAATTAGAATTTATTTGGTATAAAAAAAGGAGGTTTTGGGTTTAAAAAGGTTAACAATGCTTTATTTTTATATTCTTAGTGGCAGTTATAAAAAGTAGAAGAACTTACTTTGTGAAATTATCCTTCGTTACAATTTGCAGTTAATCGCAATGGTGTTACTTATATCTACCCTGGTATTCTTTTCTGCTCAGCTTCGAGATGATCCACTGCCAACAACTGCTGTTGCTGTTCAAGATGTAGTGAGTAAAGATGTAGAAAGCAATATCGACGGGCTGACCGATGAGGAGAACGGCTATGGTTTTAATTGTGAGAAGCCAGAGAATTAAATCATTGTAGGATTTTTCAAAGCTAACCCGATTGAGCCGATTCTATTAATTTTATATATTTTGACGTTAAACGTCATCGCACTATTTCTAGTTATTTAATTTAAGTTCTCTGGATTATTTTGAAAGCTTTTCTTACTCTGTAAGTCAAGCATTGCCTGTTTTTTAGTACTTTTTCAGTCATTTGCGCTTTGAAGGCGGGGGAATATTTCTGTGATTTTTGCAGATTATTCGTCACATTGTTTAGAGGGTTACTTGATGAGTTGTTGTAAAGAGCGCTTTAAGGGGATGAATCAGTATGCGTAAAAAAATGAGTAGCGAAAGCTTTGAGCAGGTGGATTCTAACACATTTCTATTTTACCCTTGTGCTCATTTTAGCATAAATAGTGATCTTGTTTTGTACTATCTGTAATATTCTTTGCGGTGACTTGATGTGAATAGGTGTGATGAGTATATATTTACCTAATAATCCGTCATTTATTTGCTCACTGCTGCATTCTTTCAGTATTCTCGCAAATGGTATTCTCATTCTCGCTTCTGAAATTTTTTACGTTATACTAATATTTTTGTTATCTCTAAGTTGTTTGGAATTTTTAAGGGTTTCAGGGCTTTTTTCCTTTTCCGGTGAGTTTTCCCCATAGTGCTTGTGAATATATGTTCAAAGATGTTCAGTAATCATTTTGTCGATACTTTTTTCTGATTACTACTTATACGGTTTACAGTGAAATTATGAGACGGATCAATTTTCATTTCCGGTGATTCTTTTTCAGTCGTATTTTTGTTTGCATCCTTTTAATCTTTTTTGTGACCTTTGAAAAAGTTGTTGTGTTGAAGTTTTATGTTTGTTACGTTGCTGAACTTGGAATGATAAATAATTTTTATTTATTTGATATGCAAGAATAGATGGCGTTTTATTTGAATCCTGCTGCCATCTGATTTGGTGCTTACAACAAATTTTATTCCGGGTGGTGATAATCTAGTGGTCGGTTAATGGTTTTGGTAAGGCTTTTAGCAACAAGACTGCCTTTAGTGGTAAGGGTCGGAAAGCGTCATTGGCTTATAAGACATTGTGACTTTTCGGCACTCACGTTTGTAAGAATCCGCTTGTTTCACAAAAGTGGATTTCTTCGTGATTCTGAATAATTTTGTATTCATTGACAGCTGGTCTGCTTTTAGGGGGTTTTTGTAGTATTAGCAACAATTAATCTTATAGTTCCTTATTTTGATATTTGCAAATACACTTTTAAGAAGTGCGTCATGACTTTTAACATTTTAAAATAAAATTGTTGGTTTTCGTCTATCTCAGTTTTGATAATGGATTATTGCTACAAAAAGTTTGCAAGTTTAAAAGAGATCGTAATACTGAAATATTTATTTGGGTGTTCTTACAGTTCCATGTTACTAAAACTTTAACAAATGATGCATTATACAATGTTTCGAGAAACATGGCGATGTCTCTAACTTACAGAGACAAATATTGAACCAGTTTCTCAATTTTTAAAGTTTTTATTAAAGTTTTTTAAAGAAAAAAATTGTAAATTACGTGATAAGTTCCGGGTTCAGCGGAAAAAATAGACTATATACGGCCGTCGAGAAGAATCAAAAAAAAAAAAAA